CTTGGCCCAATTCTCAGGAGCCGGGAGTAGTGAATGGCATGGCAGTGGTCGTGACGCATAAGAAGCGTCTGGTGGTCGATTTGAGGTATGTCAATCGTTTTATTAGGTACCAATCATTCTCCTATGAGAAACTTAGTGATATTTCAGACTACGCTCAACTTGGTGATTTTGGTTATACGACTGATCTGAAGTCTGGCTACCATCATTTCCGGATGCATCCTAGCACATGGCCATATTTGGGAATTGAGTTTGAAGGAAGGCGCTACTGTTTTACACATCTGCCATTTGGGATATCATCAGCTTGTAGGGTGTTCACTAGTATTATGCGAGAGGTTTATAGGCCAATTCGCGCCCATGGTGTTCCGATGTCCTACCTCATTGATGACCAGATGGGCACGGCCTCATCTTTACCACGAGCCAAATTTCAGTGCCGGATTGTTGTGATGATTTTAGTGGCCTTAGGCTTCTTCCTCGGAGTTCCCAAGTGTCAACTTCTGCCATCACAATCATGCAAATTCTTGGGAATGATCGTGAACCTTTGCAATGGCCAATTTAAAGTGCCACAAGACAAGGTCGAAGCCTTTCTCGAGTTAGCTCAGGCTACACTCCGGCAGCCGACAATAAGTGACAGAAAGTTGGCTCATGTGGCTGGCAAATTACTCTCGTTCCGGCCTGCCATTCAACAAGCTCCATTGTTTACGCGCAGTCTGTACAAGAGCATGATACATTCTGGCTCATGGGACCAAGCATTTCCGACTTCAGAACCCATCACCAGGACTCTACACTGGTGGATTCAAAATATTAACCGGTTCAACGGCCGCCGCTTGTGGAAGAGAGATGAATGGATCCGCATTGTTGGCGATGCTTCTGATATTGGGACAGCTGGCTTTATACCCGATGCACAAGATTTACAGCCAATTGTGCTTTCGTTCACTCCTGAAGAATTGCAGCATCTGACGGTCCACACAAATCTCTCCAGCACACTTCGAGAGGAAATGTGTATCCGGAAGAACTTGGAAGTCCTTATTAGGCACCGCCCTGAGCTTGTTTGTCATCGTGGTGTGGCTTTCTACTCTGATAGCCAAGGTGCAGTGAGCAACATGCTTAATATGAAAGGAGGCACAGATGATCTTTTCAATGAAGTTCTCAAGGTCTACGAGCTTGCAAATCTTTACGATGTCGAAGTCGCATTTCATTGGCGCCCTAGAGAACACCCAGAACAAGTCATAGCGGATGAGTTTTCCAAGATCACCGACATGTCCGATCTCATCATACATGAGGAAGTTTTTCGCAGCATTTGCCAGGCATGGGATGTATCCATCTCCCTAGATGTTTTTGCAAGTGACTACCCGGGTAGTGCTAAGGCGGATCGCTTTTATTCAAAGTTTTGGTGCCCTAGCACGGCAGGTTGTGACGCTTTCAAATTTCCTTGAGCGATTAACCCCACATCCGGACATCGAGAATTTTGCTGGATTTTTGGACCTTTCTATCAGATGGGCAGGATTATCAAGAAGATTACACAGGAGCGATGTGATGGCATTCTCATCACCCCAGCCTGGACTACCCATTGGACAGCGCAATTACACAATCGTGCCCTTCCTATACACGGGGTTTGGGATCTTCCCCGTTGGCCTACACCCGTGTACCCAGGCCCACGCTTCCCGTCGCATCTCAAAGACCAATTTCGGTTGACTTATGGTCTCCAGGCACGCTTGATTCGTTGGCCTTCAATGTAAGATCTTGCCAACCCTCGTTATGCCCAGCAGTCGATTGCTTGGTATCCTCACGCTCCCTCTTGCGCTCGGGTCGACAACGATCTAAATATCGACGTGCAGTTTGAATCGTCATTAGTGCGTGCCCAGCTACAGCTGCCTCCGACCACCCAAGTTCGTACCGCTTATGTTGCATCGATCCACGCTTCAAGCTATATAGCGTCTCTCCCTCCCACATCCGGAACTCGGCCAAAAAGGCCTGGAAACTCTTTTGCATAGTGCAGCTATTCAACGCCTTTTCTTCCAGGTAGTCAGTACCTCGATGAAATGGCCGAACAACGAATGACACCACCGGTTGCCCAATGTGCGCACATACCCTCAGAAGCTTTTGCATGCTTCTGATAAAACATTTGTGCCAGGATCCGACCGATCCCACCCTCATGGTCACTATACCTGCCCTTTTGCTCTGGCAATTTTTAGTCCATTCCATACAGATCATTGCCTCCTCACCGGTACTCACTTCCAATTGATTCTCGTGGGTAACCATGCGTTGCCCGTTTGCTCGCCGCAGCCAGCCAACCTTCATAGCCCCGGCTGTTTTGGGACGCTGACATGTGTCCCACAAGAAGTTCACCACTACCAATTGTCGCACAATCAAAACTGCCCGCGCACTAATCTTTCCCCTCAGCAACTCTTGATCAAACATGGTTCTTAACTCTGATTGGAAGGCTCTCAACTTTCTTATCCCCATGGGTTTAGCCGCCACCTCCTCATACCCTTCCATTTCTGCCCATCGTTGGTACCCTCCTTTAAACTCTATGAGATGCCGGTGCTGCGCTGGATTGTCTCTACCTCCTCGCCCCATCCGTTCGAACCAAGTGCTCCAATGCGATATTGTCGAACGCAAGGTTGTCGGTGCGGGCACACCATCTTTTCCCCCATGTTCTTGCATCCATCGTGTTGTGATGAACACCAACAAATCACATGCTGTGCAATTATTGAGGGACTTGTTACCTGGCAACTCTGCCAAATAACATCTCAATTCTTGGATATCCCGTTCCTCCATTTCATTGGTCTCGGCAGTCCGCCGCCTTGTGGCTATCCCTGCTGCCTCCTTCAAACCCCACTCATACTGGGTGCGGCAGTCCTCCCAACTCAAAATTTTCGCTGCCGTTGGCAACTCGGGCAACTCCGTACGAAATCCGTGATACAAATTCTGTGCCCATGCATCCCAATCTCTTTCCTGCGTGTAGAAATTTTTTCGGTCATTAGTCTGTGCTATCGCCCAGCCTGGGTATTGGGGAGTGAGATGACCTTAGCAAGTCGCAAGCAACTAGCTAAGATCATCGAATAAAGTTGGGGTGTGTCAGAGTTGAGTAATCTCCTCGGCGCCCTGATGGCCGGAGGGGAGTCCACCCCAACGTCATTCACGACTTGCTCTAACAGAAGCAACGTACGTATTCATGAATACTCCATTTCTCAACTGAGAATGACGTTTGCCAAATCTGGCGCTGAGACAGACCGACGCGCGTCAAATGCACAGCGCGGCACAGCGCGCAGCGAGTTGCTCCTGTGCAGCGAGCGACAGCGACCGCGCTCGCGTACGGGCTCTGTTACGAGCAACGAACGTCACCCGCCCGCCCACCCTAGACCCACCGGTCTTGTGACCTTCGGTCTTGTGGTGTCCGGACCCGAGCCCTCTTCTCCTGCCTCTCGGGGTGTGTCAGAGTTGAGTAATCTCCTCGGCGCCCTGATGGCCGGAGGGGAGTCCACCCCAACGTCATTCACGACTTGCTCTAACAGAAGCAACGTACGTATTCATGAATACTCCATTTATTGCATTTGCCAAATAAACTTGAAAAAACACAGCCCTGGCACCTTAGAGGCGAGAGCTTAATTCCAAACAGATGTTTTACTTGTGTCTCAATGTTCGTTCTCTTACATGGATGCTAATTCAATCAGTTGCATCCATTTAAGAGAACGAACATTGAGACACAAATAAAACATCTGTTTGGAATTAAGCTCTCGCCTCTGTCACTGAGATTGTAATCGTGAAAGCTTTTGCACTTTTTACACGTATTTAGGACCAAAGAAAACTACGCGATAGTACACGTATTTCACCATATTAGGTTTTTAAGCCGTATCCGTACTTCCCAAGCCTGGACGCCCATCCACAACACCTACGAACCATATGTTAAACAGTACGCATACAGTGGCTCTAGGACTTCCGGCCGTATCGGCCGCCACCCGTGTCAGCCCGCGGGTCACCGTGTTAGCGACACTGCGCCAGTTCACGACAAAGCAAGACTCTGGCGACCAGACGACACTCTAGTACCTTAGGAAATCCTGCATCGAATGAATAAACGAGAATTCTCAGCTAAATTCTCAGCTCGCCATCATCATCACAATCATCGTGAAGAAATGTTGGCCCAAGCGTCAAGGGCCAGTCATCCCTGGATGAGTGTTTCAGCAATTCACACATTCAGCGAAATAGACGAGACACGGATTTAAATCAGAAATTTCTGGGCCACTGAGTCCTGTCATCAGCACCCAGCGAACGACCTTACGTCATGAATCAAAGCACTGCCGTTTTACAGCGCAGCCGCAGCAGGTGTTTCTTGATGACCATCACCACCGAGAAATCTTGGTCCGAGCGTCGATGATAGGTCGGCGATGGGTCGCTGCCTGGTTCGCCACTGGGGAAGCTGTACTGTAGGGGCGGTCTGAGAACGGAGTTGCACACGGATCCCAAACAGCCACGTCCCTTACAGTCAGGCGATCCATTCAGCACGCGCCCCATGACCATGTCACACCAGCGGGCCTGCCATCCCTGGATGACTTCGTACTCGGCTTGACTGATGATGTGCCGCGGCCCTCTCAGAGTCCGCCACGGCCGCCGTGCCGCGGCATTAGTGTTCGCGGGCAGGTTCCCGGGCAGCCCGCGCCGGCGGGGCCCAAATTCGCTGCGAACACGCGCCGGAGCTCGCGCCGAAACCGGGCGGGAGGCTGGGAAGGAGCGCCCAAGCCCAGGGGGAACATAAAAACAGTCGTGTTCACAGCCGCCGGCAAGCAAAGCAGTCCCAGCGCCAGCCACCGCAGCCCGGCCTTGCCACGCGTCGCGTGCCTGCCCGCATCCTCGGCAGAGTCGGCGCCCGTTAGCCACAGACCTGCGCCATCGAGCGCCAAGCGCGGCTGGGCGAACGTCGTCTGTGAAGAGGGGAGATCCCGCCTGCCGCTCTGCAGCAGCCCGCGTCGGGGCGCGTCGGTTTCGGAGCAAGGTCGCTCGCCATGATGGGCCGGGGCGTTGTGGCGGCGGCATTCCTGGTGCTGCTTGTCGCGCCGTTCGTCGCGGAGGCGAGAGGTGAGGAAGGCGGGGAGGGCGGCGTTGCAGACTGCGCGCTTCTCGACATCACCAAGATAGATTTCTCCGCATCGGCTGGCGACTCTGCCCCGGCTGCTCTCGTTTGGGGCCTTCTTTGCCGCGGTTAGGTCCGCGAAGTTGGGAACAGCATGAGAAGGCTGATTGCGCAATTCGATGCAGTTCAGGACCAAAGAGTGGCCTGGTTAGCTTTAATTCCATGGGCCATGCTGGGATGTCGACTTTCGCTTGGAGACCCGCCCCTTCGGGCTGCCCACAGCGGCGAGTTGTCCAAGCGGCAGGTCTTTTGCGCCGCGTTTTGGAGAGACACGGCGCCCTGCCGTTGGGCTGGCAATGAGCTTGATGCCTCCTTCACTGGCCGGATTCCCGCGCGGTGCTGGCGCTGTGTGCACAAAACGCGCGCCGGTGTCTGCGTGGCAAGGCGAAGTGTCGCGGCAGTCACATCCTCGCCTTGCCGGCGCCGTCTTCTTGTGCTCGAGCCACCGCGACCGACAGTCTGCAGCGGTCACTTGCTGGCCTTGTTCGCCTCGTGCTCTTGTGCTCGAGCCGTCGCCTGAAGCATGCTCGAAAATGTCTGTGCAGGGCTGCGCGCGCACACCTCGACATCCTGCGACACGAACTCCAAGGCCGCTCTGTTCCTCACGAGCGGCAGCGGCTACGCGTCTGCTACTGCATACTGCGAGGTGGGCAGTGTTGGTCGCCTGTGCCGCGTGTCCCGCTCCCACATGCCAGTCAGCAGCCTCTGTGTTTACTAAGAACTCGCGGTTGAGCACATTTGCCACCCCCGTGTCAGGCTAAGAGCTTGCCGTTGAAAGCATTCCCTGCCCCAGTCTCGCTCAGCTGCCTCTTGTTTACTAAAACTTGCCGTTGACGACATTCGCATTTGCCAGGGCAGTACCTGCTGCCCCATGCCAACCCGCGATGTGACGTTCTTGTTGCCGGCCGTGATGACGCCACGAAAGGGGGCGCTGACTGTCGGGCTGTGCGCTGCTGCACCAGGCTGAGGCAAAGGCGAAAGACGCCGTCTACAAGGTCGTCACGGATTGGGTGCACAAAGTGTACGACGCTCCTAAGCACGGCTGCACCGCCGCCGAGATCAAGATAGCCGTCGAAGGATTCGCCCAGGCCACAGCTCGTGCCTTCGCCGACGTCCGTGCCTCGGTGCGTGTTGCCCCAAGTCACTCCAAGAAAATTTTGCATACCAACATAGCTTCATTGATGCTGGGCTCGGTTTGCCGATTCGTCTGCAGACCGCAGACTGCTTGGCCGGACTTGCGACTCTCTTGCATGGTTTGAAGTCAATCAGGGGTTGCAGAATGGAGACATGCAATTTTCTTGATAGACCGTCGCTACATGACATTGTCTATCAGTCCGGCCGGTTGCAGAACTTCCAGCGAAGCGCAGCGGACGGCTTGGTGGAAACGAAGACGCACAATTTACCTGAGCAGACTGTAGCCGAACAGCACTGTCTTGCAGTCCAACCAGCGGTGGCACTTCCAATGAACTGTTGCGCACGGTCTGCCATTTGACTAACCAGCTTCCATTACCTGCAAACTCAGGCCGAGATTCAGGGCACTGGCAAGGCGTGCGCCGGCGGCTCCGCCGAGGGCGACGCCTTTGCCGCCGCCGTCTTGGACGTCGCCCTGGAGGCCACCCTCACCGTGGTGCACGAGAAGCGCGGCTACGCCGAGAAGGAGAGGGTCCAGAAGGCCCTCAACCAGGCGTCTGGGGAGGTCTCCGGCAGGGCCGTGTCTGCTGCCATTGCTTCCGCCTGGGCGGCCGCTTCCGAGTCGGTGTGCACCAAGGGATACAAGGTGGAGGCGTCCGAGTCGGCCCTCGGGCAGCAGGTCCGCACCATCGTGGCCAAGCTGTTCGGAGAAATCGCCGTGACGCTCTGCGAGGAGCCAATTGGTGAGCGCCCGTCCATCGCGCTTTGGCGATTGCGCCTCATTTTTTTGGTGAATGGCTCGATATTGAAGTGTCGATGCTGCGCGACGAGATGTGAGGTGGTGCGCGATGGAAGGGCTCGACATCGAAGTATCGAAGTATCGAAGTATCGAAGTAGCGAGGGAGATCCGCCGGAGCGAGTGAGGGCTCCTGGGTCAGAGATCACCGTCCTGGGCGTGAACCGTGCGTGCATTGTTAGTGGCATTGGCTCAGGACAACTGCAATGCGCTCCGCCCTCGAAATCCTCTCGCACTTGAAAGCATGGCAGCATTAACACATTCGCATGACTTTGTCAACGATAGTGCTGTCAACTGGCCAGACAACGGTGCTATCATGAAAGCAGTTAGAAAAGTCACTGCTGGCCAGAATGCTGCGTTCTCTTAAAATATCAGGCGAAAATCACTGCTTGAGGTGTGAGGCAATCCTTGTTTACTGCTCTCAAAACCAGCGCTGATGCGATCTTGCTGCCGCATCCGCAGACGAGTACGAGACCACCGGCGAGAGCACCACTTCGGAGTCCACCTCCACCATCTCCGGCGAGATTAAGGATGACGAGTTCGCTGTCGTGGAGGGCAACGCCGGTGTTGGCGAGGACGACGTCAAGCCATGTGAGGGCCTGAAGGGCAAAATCTGCTGCAGGAACTACTACCAGGACAAGGACACGTGCCGATGCGGAATGAGGTGAGCGCGAAACCCGCAGATTGGGGGAGTGTGTCGTTACGGGGCGTTCGCGCTGCGTTGCCGATGCCCCCTGTGGTCTTGGATGGCAGCTGAATGTTGGCTTATTTAGTAAGCGGTTAGGAAATTGATAGGAAAGGGTATTTGTGGAGTGCGTGACCGAAAATGTGAAATAATACAATACCTCGTAATCTGAATTAAGTGTTAGGGATGACTGAAAACAATATTTTTGGAGGCAGCATCAGTGCATGCCCAGAGTGCTCCCTCATTGCGCGATGGTGGCCGCGAAGGCAGTGACGGACCAACCAATCAAGCCCCATACGCAGTTTCATAGTGTTAAATTGACGCGTATTCTGTGGTGGCAGGTGCCAAATGGAGACACTTGTTGACTACTCTCCCGTTACCAAAGTTAAGATCTGGGAAGACAAGAAGGGCGAGAAGTGCATGTGTGTCTACTGAAGCGCTGCCTGACTTCCGCGACGTCTTTCTGATGACATTTAATTGACTGCGGTCCGCAGCGACACTCCAGAACTGGGGGGCTGGAAATGTGGGATAATGGGCTTGTTTGAGTTTCATTCTAAAATTAATCAATTTAATGCAGATGATTAACGCGGGTGCATAAATTTCATTGAGGGGTTGGATTCTGAGGAGACGAATTGGGACGCTCCGACTTTTGCAAATTTGAGGTTGTAACACAGCGTTTCGACTTTCAAGAGAATGTGCTTGGAGGACACGCATTCTCGGAATATCGCCAACACTACTTTGATGGCGAACTCCCTCGTGCGCGAGATATAGCGCAAATAGCGTTCTTTTCAAAGCAAAACGATACAAAACGGGATTAAACTACTTGCACTGCTCACAGCCAACGACAACCGTTGCACCATCATCAGACCTCGTCATCTCGCTCCCAGCAGGTCTCGTCTGTGAATGTACTAGCATGGCTCGTGGCGTGTATCGACAGTGTACACTGCAATGTCTTCTGCCACTCACAGCAATTATACAATTAGTGCAGCGAGGCCTCGTCGAAAATGAAAAGCCGACTGTACCTCTTCCTGAAATCATGAACATCCCAGTGAATTCCCCACGCTGCTTGCCGCGGCACCTGCGATTAACGTAAAAGCCAAGCCTGCATCAGATCATCCTGAGAGTTTCCTTGTGACTAATGTGAGCGCCCAGTCAAGTCCGACGACGTTTCACACCGAGGGACAACGTCTCCCAAAGCAACCGAGCCTGGAATAACTTTATGCTGTAGACGTTTTGCCCACTATATAGGGCTCCGCGGGAAGCACGCGATTGCAGACAACAAAAATTGTGTCCGTACAAACTAGAGTGGCATTTCGCACTGCTACAATCATCCCAGCACCACGATCGCAGCACGTATTCGTAATCTACGACGTTGCGAACTGACCGTGGAAACAGAGCTATTGGAGTGTGCCTGCTGGGGCATAGGTGCAGTTTGACTCCCGATATCTGATGCAGCACTTATTGCACGTTCTTGCTGCACCATTCGGGATTTATCATCATCGTCATCATTATTTGGGTCCCAGTGCTGTTGTCGCCACCGAGCGGTGTGCAGAGCTGCTTTGACCGCCACCCGGGGGCGTGTGCCAGGCGCGTGCACTTCTGCACCCCTTTGGCCACCCCCACGTACTTTAAGGCGCATTGAACCGCTCGGAGCGTTGACCCGGACTGCCACGTCCCACTCGCCCGGATGGTTGGCCACGTACTGATGCGGCATCCCGGGGTATAAATACCCCTCTCGCTTGCGCTCTGACCATTGTGGTCTCGGCTGTCTCTCCCCAGGGCAGGTCCTGCCGAAGAGTCTTTGACTTCCAGGCCAGCCTCTGACTCTGAGGATGGGAATCGAGGCCGACCGAGGAGAGCGCTTGCAGGCGTTGGAGGCGTCGCTGCCTGCAAGCGGTGAGACGCGGAAACCCCGAGCGTGGGACTCCCCGGGAACGAGGTCTCTGGCCGTTGATGATATTGATCTGCCCTTCGCGCTGACGCTCTTTTATGGGATATTATTCGCTGTCTGGAGGAGGCCCGTGGACTAGCCGACCGGCTTGCCACGAGAGCCCCATCACAACCGCGAAAGGGCTTCTTCATTTGGCAATTGAGAGCTCGTTTACAAAAGTTAAGATCCGTCAAGTGCGCAGAAGGGGAGCGGGTTTAGGACTCGAGTCAACGGCACGAGACGCGGTTTTCATTTGTTTGTGTGTCCATTGGTGTAGGCTTCGGTTGACGAAGCGCCGGAATGACTGCCATCAGCAACTCGCTCTAACGCTTCTTCCGTCGTAATGACCTCCTCTGCGACATTATATGCCACAGCGGTGAGGATTTTGCTTTGCTACATTTTGCTAAGGACATTGCAGCATCGATTTCCTCATTAATTTGAACGCAATTATACTACAAAAGTTACGTAGTTACACGAAAATACAGTCAATTTCCGGAGAAATTGATTACTCCATGATTTAGAGTCAATTTGCTCAAACCAATACATGGATGCGTGCGTGGAATATTTGGTTCCTTCGCACTAGGAAAAAAGGGCCAAATAACACGTGTTCAAATGTGTGCAAAGTTTACGGGTTTGTGTTATTTTTGTGTTCTTTGCGTGCAGAACTTTATTGAAATGTGTTGTGTGTGTGCTCGCAAAAGTGTTATTTGGCGCTTTTTTTCCTAGTGTTAAGAACATTGACGTGTACCAGGTGTCTCTGTTTATTGATGCAAATCTTCAAATAGTCTATCCAAATCACACTCGCGTTTTCCTTCGCATAGCAGGAGTATTCTTGATGCAGCCGGAGGCGGCGCCCAACACCACCCACCACAGTCGCACAGAAACTCTCGGCATACGATCCCTTCACCTCGGGCAACCAGTGGTGGCTGACAAGATGGACTGTCAAAGACACGCATGGCGGGCATGGCCCCCAAGTAAAGGAACACATTTTGAACAATGCGAATCTGAAAAGGGTGACTACAGGTCAGGTAAGTGAGGTGGACGCAGCTGAGGCGGTGGGCAGGGCATCCACAGCCAGCTCGGGTGCAGCTGTTACAGCGCTGCGGCACGGAAGGACCCACGAAAGACACACATTCGTACGGCAAAAAGATTCAACGGCGACGACGAGCCCTGCATTGCGTACAAACCGGCAGCGATTGCAAGCCAGGTCCTGGGAAAGCAAAGCGTCCACCAACAACGCTGCTAAGATGCCTTGATGCGGAGGGAGCGGTGCTCCAACCGGTTGTTGCGACGTGCGGTGGAGGTGCGCGGGATGCTGTACGCAGCAGATCTTGTGAACGTTTTGGCAGGTGTTACATGCATCGGAAGATGAAGCACACCACAGATGGCGTCCTGCACCGTATACGGCGCATACGTATGCGCCCCGTTGACGGCGCACGACCTCGCCTTGCAGATGCGCCCAGGCAACCTAGTGTTTATATGCCATGACAAATGTTCGACGTCGTGCAGAGTTTTCATCGGCTGGCAGAAAATAACCGGCTTGGTGAGCGCCTCGCGGTCCGCGCTCAGTTCCTGCAATGCTTTTCAGCTCACGCGCTGCAAGGAGGAGCGTGAGGGACTTGCACGTGAGGTAGTGCTCTGAAACGAAATGTGCCCCGTTGTCTGCAGGCCACTGTTGCTTCGGCGTCGCACTTGAGGTACATCTAGAAGTAGAGGTACTTGAGGAACATCTAGAAGGTTGCAATCCATTTGAGGTACACCTGACAATAGAAGATTGCAATCCACTTGAAGTACACCTGACAACAGAAGACTGCAGTCCTGGTGCGCTCTTTCCGGCCGTTTGGCGTGCTGCCCTGGTGTGGGCGAAATGCACAGCGGAACTGGGAAGGCTCGGCGAATGCCCACATTGGAATCTGTTCGGAATGTACGTTGGCATGTTGGAATGCACATTCGGAATGTACATTGGAATCTTTTCTGCTGGCGTTTGTCTCTTGGGTCGGGATGTGTGAAACTGCGCTGTAAGCAACGCCGAGACAGGCCATCTATTGTCCTGTGGCATCCAGCAAATCTGGGCAGCGGGCGCATGGATCAACTTTGATGAGGCTCATCAAAATGCTCAGCGATTTCTGAATTTATTTCAAGAAATTATGAGTCTGTTTTTCTTTGAAAGAAATTCGAACATTGAAGCCAAGAGGGTGGCGCTGTAGTAAAAGAACAACGCCATCAAGGCTCAAAGCGGCACAGCGATATTCCAAGGCCATGGGACGCTCCAACTGAAAACACGTCACCGAAAGACCAAAACTGCTGGGTACCCTGCAAGGCCCCACGTAACATCGCGTTGCAAGCCCCGCCAATCCATCCGGGTCATTTTATCGCATGCATTAGGCCAACCAAAATCTGCCACACCGGGCCCCCAAACCAGGCATTGCATTAAACCTGGAACGCCCCCTTCAAGGCCTGGAATTAACCTGCAATTGAACAGGGCAGTAAACGGTGGCCCTCTGGAAGGCGCTGGCAGCCCAGAAAACTATCTACTCACGAGCAGAACTTGTTTTTGAAGAAACGAGGATGGCTTTTGCTCTCCACAAGCGTGAACACATCGCACGCTTCTTATATTCTAACCCAGCCAATCACAGCTCCCGCCCAAAAGGACCTAGGGTGCACAAAGTAATGCTGTGGTGTTTGGGCTTGCGTTGTGCATGCAGACCGTAATTGGCAAATTGGTGAAGGGCACTTTCTTTGCGATGTATCGACGTAGAACGAGGTAATACCTGACATACCATGTCAGCGATTGCTACACGGAAATTAGTAATATCTAGCACACCCGCATCTGCCAGGAAAGCGGCAGTTTGCACACCACACCACCACACGTGATGAGCTCAACGTAGGTGATGAATTCAATGCTCAGTGGCCACTGAGCTCGACAAATATACACATCCACATGCTCACCATGGTGAGTATGTTTGCGGCCTCATTGCGTTGTTCTGTAAGAAATGAATGATGATGATCATGATGATGATGATGTATGTTAGCGGCCACTGGAGCAACCCAGTCAACCATGGAGCGATTCCAGTCCCGGCTTGGCTCAGTTGCTCTCAAACCTTCAACTGTCCTCAGTTGGAAAAGCACGCCTTTGAGTGCAGCAGCACAGCTGCCAGCGCCCATAGGCAGCTGAGAGTTTGCACCAGGCGCAAGCGACCTATTCGCCGGGTGAGTGCGCCAAAGCACACGTTGCCATAGCGCCGGGTTTGCTGCACCACCGTGTGCTCTGCAGCACATTCGTCCGATGTGCCTCTGGAGGTGGAAAGCAGGACGGACGTTCGCGCCTTTGCTCCGCTTACATCCGCCAGCCTGGCGAATAGGCGGCTGAAGGGCCCAACTCAGCAAGTTCGTGCACTTTCTACATAATAGGCACAACAGCCGCAACGCCTATGGCCACCAACACAATGCCCTTATTGTCGCAACCCCTGTCCGGCATCCTCCCCACGGTCAGACAACAAACCTTAATTCGGCGTCTCGCCTCACAGCACCCACCCGCCCGCTGACTGGTGCCTCCAATCTGGTGCCAGTCATGGCTCCATCTTATGGTAGTTCAGGAGTCCAATCGACACAAATTCGCGCATTTTCCCCAAGCCAACAAGCCGACCCCAAGTCAATAACAAACCTACTTCCTACCCACAGCGAGCTCATCCAGCTGTATTAGCTCCTAGTCCCAAGGAGCGGTGGGGGCCTAAAGAAGGAACACAAAAATGACGACGAAGGCCATGAGGACCATGAACACCTTCATTATGAGCCACCTGTTCGACGATATGCCATTTAGGTACTTGAGCAGCTGCGTCTGCGCCATCATGACGTTGGTGTCGGTGTCGACGACATCATCCTCGATCCGCTTCGCCATCTCTCCATGCTCTGCTACCTGGGGCGACGCCACTGAGCATCAGCCATGCTCTGCTGAGAACTTCAAACACCCTCCATACCCCCATGCCACACCACCCCCGGGCCCCCAATGAAACAAACTGCCACCTATTACTCCATAGCAACGAAGTAGTAGCTGCCAACAAATTGTAATCTTCTGTACTGCAAATGCAGAAAATGTACTCTTGTGTTATTGGGGCACAGAAGCATGCCATCATTATCAGTTGACATATCTTCAATTCGCAGCTTGTTACCCCAGACGCATGTTGAGTACAAAACTGGCCCGCAATGATGCTGTTGGCACAACGTTCAACTTGCCATGTGCGCCAGCTGTTGAAAGATGCCTCCGAGCTCCACAATGGTCGCCTCTGCTGTGTGCAGTGCTGTGGCTCTGGAGTCCAGGTAGCTGTTCTGGGGACTGGCGACTGCCAGCTGCTGCTGTTGTTGCTGCTGTGGCTGCCTAGAGTCACTGATGCAGGCAAGCAAAAGCACAAGTCTTTTCACGCATGTGCGATGCGCATCGACCACGGGGGTACAGAGGCCTCTGCATTGTTATTCATACTATTAAACAACAGCATTCCACCACGCAGTCATTGCATCGCCTTGAATTTTGATCGACACGAAGGCCCACAGTTATTCTAGTCGGTTACGGGCAGCAGCTGACTCGCAAATTTGACACAGTGTCTGGAATCAAGGACAACAGAAATAACGACAGCAGCGACAACAGAGCGTCTGTTGAAAAACATCTCAGAAGCAACACTTGCTATCAATGAAGCCAAGCACTTCAGCACTCACCCCAAAACTGTAATGGCTGTGCTGCCACTGGGACCTTTGCCACCCTGAGTGAGCAAAAGTGTAACACACCAGCAATCAGCTTCTGAACAAGTTGGCAAATCGCCATAGGGATTACACATCCCCCATCCGAAGAAGGGGTCACTGCACCCTGACCATTCCGCTCAACAATACCAAGAAGTGCTAGAGGCTCCACAGACAACTCTGGCTTTTCCACTAGACCCAACCGTAACAGCATGCAAAGTTGAACCCAGTTTTTACAAGATTGTTCAATTGCACTACGAGTGTTGATTCATTTTGGCTGTCTGCAGTGCACAAGGAATCCACAAGCAGAATACACAGATATGGCCCATGCAAGCCCCCAAGAGCCAAGTGAAACTGCTGAACGGGTCTTCTTCAACTCCCTTAGTACTATCCGATGTTTTAACCTTAGGCAGGGAGATGCAACATTTTCGCCTTGTACTGCTGAGTGACAGAAACTGAAAGTAGGCATTTTAGTGCAGAAATGTTGAAAAATGAGCTGCTGACAAAGCGATGCAAAGTTTCTGGCAAACCAATCCCGCCATTGCCCAGGAACGCACTGTGTGGCCAAAACACTACTCTCTGGGCCGCATTCCATTGCTTTTGTTTGTGTATGTGGCAGACCCCTCGGAACAGAGGGAGGGGTGCCCTCCTGGGTGACAGCAAGCATCAAGTATCTCCAGGATGTGGGTATGTCAGTGCAAACACTAGAAATCTCCCCAATTGACTCGATGCACAAGTAAGAGGCCAACGGCTTTTAGAATCACAAACCCCCAACCCAGAGGCCTTTCATTCCTGTCTAATGCAAGCAGCCAACAAGGACGAAACCCAAAGGATAAATTGCGTCTTGAAACAGGAGTCCAGACAAACAGGAACGAAAACTGTGTTTTCTTGAAGAATATGATGTTTTTCCCCCTGATGTCAGTGGGTCAGCATGTCTCTTGACACATTTTACTGGGTTGGCTTTGGTCATACGGTCTATTCTCCCACTCATGGAACCTTGCCAGATGCGATGCAGATAGAAGAAAGAAAATAGCCTTGCTGGTTTTGCGAAACTCCCAGCAATACACCCTTAAAAAGTGGCAACCAATTCCAATATGCCAAATAATTAAACACGGTATGGTGTGGTTAACAAGCCACACAAAGCAATTCCACTGCACACCATTTGCCCCGTGGACCATATGCATGCCAGTACTTGAAAAACGATGGCAGGCAATTCGTGACATCCACACTGCTTGTCATCCACATGCAAAGAAATGATTCGCACCCAAGTGTTAATGTTTGTCAACATATCCAGGGTCATCACCAAGTGGGATTGTGTAGGCTCCTTATTAATGCAAGCAACTCACAATCAATGCAAAGAAGCCATCATGGCAACTTACCTCTCCGCCAAACAAGTTGTGCGCACTTCTGCCAGGTCCGTGAGCTACTGGCTGACGCAGGAGAGGCTGCGTTTCCATGAAGCCTGCCACCACAGGCATAGCACATCCTTACCTCAGCAATCAAGGCTTTCCCTGTTTCGAAATTCGCACTGAGCCTCAGGATAAGCAGATGCAATGCAAAAAGGCTCCAGACTTGCCCAGCTTGCTGCTGACCACTGAGCACCCAATGTGCTACCGACCACCAGTGGGGTGCTGGCAGAAAGATCACCCTTGCAATGATCTATTCAACCTGCTGTCGTGAGGACCGTAGCCCCATGATCTTGCCATTGGTCAAACAGTTTGCAGCCTGCCACAATTGGTCGATGCACAGCACTATTCGCTCATCCCACCCAGCCAGGAAGGAGCCACTTGGATACAGCAACATGTGGCATTGCAACAAGACGATCATTACCACAAAAAGACAAAACTGCAATAGACTGGCCTGTGCATGCCAGCAATTCCCCTCACATTCTGGTCCTCTTATGCACAAACATCTGCCCCTGCCTGCTCCTTTGAGGGCTGCATTTCATCAACTTTTAAAGGAGCACTTGTGCAGGCAAAGCACAAGGGTGGAAAACAGCAGAAAAGACATAAAGCTACAGAAGCCTGGCTGACCATTTTGCTTTCCCCCAGCACTGGAATACCGCTTCCTTCGATTGTCCTGCCCCTTCAGGTTGTCTGTCCTCAGGCTCAGCACGTCCTGGAACTCCTTGGTGGTGTCCTTGAGCTGCACCCTCAGGTCATCCACAACTGTGTTGGAGTGCTTCAAAGACTGCAGCACAGCCATGAACAGCCACAGACCCCAGAGTTCAATGCCAGCGAATCTGAGAAGCAACATAATAAGGCTGCACAGCCTTGCCCCAAAGTGGTGTTTCTCCAAGACTGGACGGCCACCAGGAGGCAATGTCCAGTGCTGAGAGGGGAGGAACATGCCAAACAATGGCCAAACTGGTCTTAGCTAAATGTGGTCAAGTTCCTTGTCTGCAATCAGTGTTAGAACTGTGTGACTGCACATGGAAACCCAAAGGACAGCGCACTGTAAGTAAGGGGATTAAACCAGCAATGGCCCCAGCAGCGAGGCAAGTGGGCAGCGGGTGGGGCGAACGTACCAATAGCAAAAGCGCGTGTGGCCAGGGTCCAACGGTCATAATTTGTTGTCAAGGGCCGAGGACAAGGTGGCAATGACAGTGCTCAGCCTGATTGGCAAGGTGGTTTGCGAACGGAAAAGCACTGCATGTACAAACGCCAACCCGACCATTTCGTTGCAGTGTGTGTTTCCCTACAATTTGAGACTCTCATGCCCCCAGACTTATCCCCCCTGCACACAAGCTACCCCAGAGTGCTTGCCCACGCAGGTGTGTCCACACAGGGCTCGATACCTCTTGCCACGTTCGCATTCACAAGACCGTTTCATTTGTGCCAAGTAACCCCTGACGTGCACGTACTCATCCAGAACATGCCTTTGTCCCATTGTCCCTTCGTGCCTTGTTACTTTGTCTCAATGTCCGTTTGTTTCTACGTCCCTTTGCCCCTTATGCCATTATCCCTTTGTTCTTTCGTCCCGTTTTCTGCACCCCGGGCTACACAAGCCGCCAGGCAGCCTCACCTGCACGTTGGTCCCCCCGTCCCGCGCCGCGGACGCCACCTGCAGCTCCGCGATGTCCGCGTTCAGCCGCGTTATGTCCGCCTTGATCATCCCCGACAGCTCGGCGATCTCCCGTGCGGGGTCGTCGAACATCGACGTGCGGCGCGCCAGGGCCGCCAGGCTCTGCAGCTTGGCCGACGTCCTGTGGATGCCCATGCCGATGGTGGAGGCCCGTCGGGCGAATTCGGACTGCCCGACCCCAGCTCCAGCTCTGGACCCAACGCCTGGGCCTGCGACGCGATGGGCCAACCCAATGTGACCGAATCATTTCCTCGAAGGTCTCAGCGACCCCGCGATGCCTTGAAACAGAGGCAGCCCGAGGGGAGGGCTGGAAAGCGCGATTCCGCTTTGTTTCAGCTTGTCGTTCGGTGTTCATCCCAAACGTGGGCTTTGGACTTCGTCTCAGCGCTGCCGCCGCGCGGCAACTGCGGCGGCAATGGCCAGGCAGGCTAGGAGACGGGCGCCGGGGCGCGTCCGGCGGATCCCGTGGCCACCCGCGGCATTGGAGCAGACCCCTCCGTGATACTGTTAGACCCTTTCGTGCCCCCCGCTCCAACTTTGCCGGCCGGTTTGATTTCGAATCGGGACAATTTGCACCCTCTCTCAACACTCCCCGTCGCCAGCGCTGCGCACCTGCAGTCCCCTCCTGGCTGCCCGACGTGGACGCGGCACCCTGTCCGCACAACACCGCCCTTCATTCACACACCACCGTACCTCCCACAGCGCTCATGCCATCCACAGGCCAGGGTGCTGGCTGCAGAAGATGCCCGAACTTCGGGGTCGGATTGGCGCACCTGCTGCTTTTGAAGCCTGTCCGCGATCGCGAAGAACTCCCCCGTCCGGTCGCGCAGACTGTGGGAGTGGTAAGCGGCCATGGCCGCGAACGAGCCGAGGCTCCCACTGCCGGGATGCGGCCCAGAGAGGGGGGGAGAGGGGGCTGCAGGGGCTGGGCACCCGGAGCTCTGGCCTGACTGCGGTGTGGGGCGGGTGCTGGGGGTCGGCTGTGGGCGAGCTGGCGTCCAGGGGACAACCTTCCAAGAACGGCCGTGGGCGCCGGACAGCGAATTGGCTTGGTTGACTTGAATTGGTTTTCTCAATTATCGTGACCGAGGAACCAATTCAATTAAAAGTGATGATAATGATGATAAAATTGATGCAAAAAAACTGATGATGATGAAAAAGGAACTAATTCAATTCAATATGTTGTCTTCTCTCCGAGGACGAGGGGCTGAATGGTGAAGTAGGTGCAATGTATGCGCTTCTGGTCGAATGTTACCACCATCGCTCGAGTTTCTTTATTCCAGGTATCTGCCAGCTCCGAAACGCAACATTCTGCAGCTAATAAACTCAACCGATTAATCTGTTGAGCAGCCGGAGACGATGCTTTTCAGCACAATGCCCCTTTCTGCGGGAATACGTTGCGCGGCCGTGCTGCATTAAAAAGCGGCATAACTCGACAGCTTTTCCACGACAGTTTTTGATCCGCCATCCTAGTTGATTGCTCAAATTGGCTCAGAGCTCAATGACAACGTGACTATGCATTCAAAGGAGAGCCGATGCCAATATTCCATGCAGAAACTTTCTCTCTAAACATCTTTTATCCCCACAAATTCTCCAGCTTCAAGGCGATGGAATCACGCCGAACTTCTCGATGATCCACGATCGCATTTGCATCTTGCTTTTCTTCGCAAGAGTCCTGGCCGGACGACGTTTCTTGCCTCTCACTTTCGCTGCCATGCAGCTCGCCAGCAAAACACGCCTGCCTCCCTGCAGAATGGATGGCACAAAACAAGAAAGCAATGGCTGCGAAGAAGTTGACATGGACGACTTCAAAGAGGTGCTAAAGACATGGAAAACACGGTGAAGCTAGGAGATGGAATGTGTTGAAAGACGGCGACTTTGCCACTGCATTTTGTGGCTGGCCAGAGAACGCGCGATGCTGACTTCTTTGCGCCAGAGGTCCTGCCCAATGGGGCCACAGGGGCCGGCTCAACAGCGCTTGCGGCTGCACGACAAATCTCCAAGCAGAGGAGATCGAGACCTTGCGGGGCATGACTCGCAGCCGTGGCTGCATGGCTGAGCTGACGGCGCTTCAACAAGCAGCGGGACTATTAGGGAGTGCCAACCGCAGCAGTGGATGAGTTTTGTGTCCGCCAACCTCGGCAGAATACGAAAAACGCCCATTTCACAAAGTCTCCTTCCGCGCCTAAAAGATGGCTGTTCTCCTCGCCAGTTTGCTTAACAGTTCGACAATTTAGCACTGACGAATTGCTAAAGCATTCCTCTACTCTGGATTGACTCCACATGGCGATGACCTGACGAAGACAGGCGACGTGTCGTTCATGTTGCCCACAGCCGGAAATATCGACAATGCCGCCCACACAGGCCGTCACTGGAAAGTCCGCCTCTTCCCACCGCTCTCCCCAGTACGACGATCCGGCCCTGACACAACTTGCTAATGTCGCGTAACTCGGCCGGATTTGCCAGCGTCGCGAGAACAGACCATCAGCTGTTGCAGCAGGTAGCACCCTCGTCCACCATTCCTGAATTCATGAATTCTAACATAATTAAAATAGAATCTACTGATCAGCAAATTTGACGGCTGCAACACGGTCAGCAACGGGAATATATTAGCCGCCCAGACGTTCCACTGCCGCGGACGGTCTCTTGAAATTTGTTCAAAAGGGCTGCGGTGCATTTACTACTCAAATGTCTGGAGAGTCAGCGACAGGACTGGAAAGGTATCCCAAACTTTGTTCGCAATCCAATTCTTTTCAGCTCAATTCAATGGAAGGAACGTTACACTTCCAGGCAACGATTCACACCAAGGCCTTTTGGTGGAGCGGCCTTGGCGTTTGGGCTGTGCCTCGTCCGACAAGATTGGCGAACAATTGGATACCGCCAATAATGAACCGCCAACTGCACCCTCCTCCTTCCAAACTGGAAGTTCCAAGTCGGCCCCGTCCCAGGCGGTTCCACAGCACCTCGCGCGGCGCCTAGGGCGCCCCAGACATGGAGGCGACCGCTGCGCAGACATCCACCAGCGTCGGGCGTTCGGGCGAGGCACCGCGCTCCTGGTCCAGAACCGCACCCTTGCGGCCCCTCAAGGTTCCTCCCTGGCGGGCCCAAGCTCACCCGGCCTTCCGAAACGAAACAGCTCCAGCAATGAAACCCCCATCCGACGCGAAACCGAGGGCCGCGGCCACGTGGGCTGCAGTCGCCATTACTAAACCCGGAAGGCTCCTGCGCCCGCCTTTGTACGCTCACACCTCGAGCATGTCAGGCCGTAGTTTCGCCACCATGCCCTTGCCCTCCGAAACAGCCGCCGAAACGCCGGCGCAGTGTCGTCCCGACAGGTGGCAGCTTCCCGGCCGCCGCCCATGCGGTCCTTCCGTTTCGTGCTTCTCGGGGGCGGCCTGTCTTCGGGCTACGCCGCGCGAGAGTTCGTCAAGCGCGGACTGGGCCCCGGCCAGCTGTGCATCGTGACCGCCGAGGACGTGGTGGCCTACGAGCGCCCCGCGCTCAGCAAGGGGTACCTCAACCCGGTGAACGCGGCGCGGCTACCAGGGTTCCACACCTGCGTGGGCGGCGGCGGGCCACGCCAGGAGCCCGCCTGGTACGCCGAGCACGGTGTGGAGTACCTAACCGGAGCGACCGTAACGTCGGTTGATATCAGCTCCAGGAGGTTGGTACTCGACAACGGCGAAGAGCTGACCTACACCGACAAGCTGATAGTGGCGACGGGCGCGAGACCTGCTAGGCTTGAGGAGGTCGGGATACCAGGCTGGGACCTGAAGGGCGTGTACTACCTGAGGGACATAAAAGATGCGGTGGAGATCCAGGCGGGCATCGCTGAGTGCAAGGCGCGGGACGGCAACGCGCTGGTTATCGGGGCGGGATACATCGCGATCGAGGTTGCCGCGGGTCTGTGCGCCAACGGGCTGCACACTACGATGGTGTTCCCTGGCGGGATGCTGATGGACCGGATGCTGCCGCCCGAGGCGGCGTGCTTCTACGAGAACTACTACGAGAGGAAGGGGATCGAGATGTGCTGGGGGCAGCGGGTGACGCGGCTGCTGGGCAGCGACGGCTTGCTGGAGGGAGTGGAGCTGGACGACGGGAGGGTGGTGGAGGCGTCCATGGTGCTGGCGGGGATAGGTGGGTGGGGGTGATCAGCCCTCATGAGGGCTGGGTTGTGTTACAAGAGAAAGAGATACTGGTAACACCTCTGCAAGCAAGTGTGGGGAGGTGGGTGGCGTGGGGAGGGGAGGGTATGGGTGCCCTACCGGTGCCACTTGCTGCCAAGGCGTCCAACTGCACGGCCGCTGGGCCGGTCGGTTTCGGGAACAGGGTCTGCAGGGGTAGATACTGTGCAATCAGTCAATCAGTAAAACACCTCGTCGGTCATTATGTAAGAAGGAAAGGGGTAGCCACAACATTCCCGCGACCTCACCAGACAGAATTTCAAGGCAGCAACGCCCCATAGCATGCACAGCAAGCGCTCCGTTGACGGCTGAGGCCGATCTGAACGAAACGGCAGTTTGGGCTCGCCTTTAGGGAGCAAATCTACAACCGCCAGCTGCTATTGTTGCAGCTTTTGGTAAAGAAATTCTGCAGCGAAAATTGCCAGTTTGGCACGAGAAACAAATTGCCAATTCGACCCTTTGCTCAAGCAAGAGCAGATATCAAGAAACAGTTCTCAGAACACCGCACTGAAAATTGCTGAATGAATTAAATGCATTGAATGTACTGCTCAGGAGGCCAAGTTTATTCATCGAAACATACGTGTATAAATAACTTCCAATATCACGCGCAAGTGCTCTGACATACTTAGGTGGAAACAAGCCGCAACTCGCAAGCCTGCCCTGTAGCAACAAATTGCCCAATTGCCATGGCTCCAGCTGCGGTGCTCCGTGCCAGGGGCCCGCATCAACAAGGAGCTGTTCGTCGGCCAGCTGGATATGAGCCAGGGCGGCATCGAGGTGAACGGCAAGTTCCGGACAAGCCACCCCGACGTCTATGCCGTGGGCGACGTCGCCGCCTTCCCCCTCCTGCGCTATGGCGGCTACATCCAGCGGCAGGAGCACGTCACCAATGCTCGCGCCTCCGCCATCCACGCCGTGGCGGCCATAATGGACCCGGAGAACACCGGCGACTACGACTACCTGCCCTTCTACTACTCCCGCTTCTTCTCCCTCTCTTGGCAGTTCTTCGGCCTCAACCGGGGCAGGGGCATCATGTTCGGCGACCAGGACATGGAGAAGTTCGGGCTGTACTTTGTGGAGGAAGGGCGGATCGTGGGGGCGTTCCTGGAGGGGGGGAGCGCGGAGGAGTTCGGGTGGATGAAGGCGGTGGCGCTGCAGCGGCCCGTGGCGCCCCATGCCGACGACCTGGTGATCAAGGGCCTGAAGTACGCGCAGGAGTTGGCGACGAAGCCCTCGGAGGCGTCGTGAGGTTGCGAACGGCGCCTCTTGTGTAGAAGAACGCCGAGGATGAGAGGAACGTTGTGCGCAGCGTCATGGGCAGGGACCACCGATGCGGTGCAAGCCGTGCCGATGTGCCGTGGTGCTCCGTTGGCTGCGTTCCAAAACGCTGCTTCCGCCAACTGATGGCCAGCCGGGGCCATAATTTAGTGTACCCTAGGGCCAGAAGGTGTTTCTTGGGTCGGTGAGAAAAGAGGCGCCCTCGGTCACGGCCACAGACCTAAGGTTCGAGCCTCTTCATCCGGTTTCCAGTAGAGCTGCTGTGCTGCAGTGGTCTGTCGTGCTGGGGTTTGGAACATGTGGAGAACAAATCCAATGAAAGTAGCCATAGACGGGCGTGCGGAAGGACTTTTCCGTTTTCGTCGACTTTCCGTGAGCAGCAGAGGCCCTTCTGGCTGAAAAGTCGGTTACCTGAGATTTCATTTTCTTGGTGTCGTCTTTCGTAGGCATATGCCCACGGATGCATCCGTGTGCCATGAACAGCGCACTATTGATTGTTGTGCGGCTCCGCAAAACTTTGCATGGATCCGAAATCCACAACGAATTGGGCATAAAAGAAAAATTCTAACCCACTATTGTGTTCGGCGCATTTTCAAATCTGAGTAATCACTCCTGTCTAGCCAGCCCCTTGCTTTTCCGTCAATGCATATGGGGGCTCCCGAGGCGTTTGAAGCCCAATGGACCCAGATTGAGCGGCTGGCTTGGCGTGCTCTTCAATCGGCGAAACGAAGGTTCAACACGCAACACCGAAAACCGTGCATATGCAGTAAAGGGTCTTGTTTTCCCATCGTACTGTGCGACTGCCGTCCGTGGAATTGTCCCAGTAACATGAGGCCGCGGTGTGGAGTCCGGCGCCTGCACCATGGGACAACTCGATTAGATTTATTATGAACACGGCGCCAGGCAATTTTCCAGGTTAAAATTCATGTGCGACTTAGCACAGTGGCAGCGACAGTCACATGGCACGTCGCACAATGATGTGCAAACTGATCAGCATTACGTCGAAGGCAAATACCTGTATTAGTACCACATCTTCCCATGGCAAGAGCCAATGACCAAAACGCTTGCGGTTGGGAAAACACACGTAACATTGTGCGGTTGCGCACGAGCTGCGCTGTGTAAATTGCTGAAGGCAGAGAACTTCCATAGTGCCCAATGCCACGGAAGGTCTGTCTGATTTCAGGGACAGCTATGTGCGCGGCTCTGAGACATGTGTCTACAACGAGGTTGTAGCGTGCTACCAAATTGTTGCAGACATTTTAAAGGGAAGAAGGCATGTTTCTGGGAAGAATGCCAAAGCAAAGTTCTGCGATAAAATTTTTTGTCATCTTGATGCAATTTCCTTAACATTCCCCAAGCCCGGGACTGTATCCGATGACATGTTTATCGTGTCACCCATGCGCCGTACTTGCAGGTTTACCCTCGTCAATCCATATGCCGCACTCGCGTGGATAAATCAGTACCGCTGGATGTCTTTGGTTCATTCAGATGACATATCGTTATAGTTTAATACCAAAACGGCGCAATATGCATGCAGACGAAAGAAGCTTTACTGAGGCACTGTTTCTGTTGATAGGTCTGCACGACAGGAACCCACCATTTTTCTGCATGATGATGCAAGTCACAATGTATTTGAAAGGTTTGTTCAGGCCCGCCAGCTTCTTGATGGAATGCTCCAGAATGTTTGAGGTCCACTGTCCAAGCTGCATCCAGAAAAAAAAAGCTGGTGGTCTGAGCTGCAGTCGTGCCTGTCTCATGCTGCGCTAATCATCCAAGCCACTTTCGCAGCTACTTGCATTCGAAGCACATGTTACCAGAATCACCGCTGCCACTGTCGCCCTCTGCTCACCTTATCGCTGCTCTTTACGAGGTGAATTTCATTAATGCAGCATACGCATTACGAAAAGTATTATGTATAGTTTGACTGGCTCGGAACTTTCAAGACACAAATTCCATGTGCAAAGGTGGGGCATATATTGCTCCATAAATGTTGAGATCCTGGGGAAAAATTTTCAAGAAGTGTATTGCTTTACACCATTTTGTCTTTAATTTCGATATGCAACCAGCACTTCGGCAGTGATGCGTCTGACGGGAGCCTCCTGTCGGAGTTCTTGCAGGGGGTTGATTCGGATCAAGCCCACCCCAATCTCCGCAAGGCAGCAGCTGAACAGGCTGACCTCGAACTTGTTGCATTTAACGTCGACGCAACGCCAAATAGATGTGCAGAAGGTCCCACGCGCCAGCATCTTATGCACAGAAGGCTTCCCCATTGAATGTTACCATTTTCCACACGGGCGCTGCCGGAACATTTCTCGTTGCGGCATCAACGTGACACTGCCGTTGCGTTGGCGCACCCACGGCGCTTCTCATCGAAATTGAATTTAATTTCAGGCGACCCAATCACATATCTGAAATTAAATTCTCAGACAATCGGCTACTCAGATTATTTGCATCTGATCGGTTCGCAGCACCGAGTCCGAACGACGCAGAGTGTGGGGAATTGATGGCTCCCTGGACCATTTCTGTGTTGTGCATCAGAGTTCAAAGAACTGATGGTGGCCGCTGCTTTGTTCGGGCAGAGCGAGCAGCCGACGTCCGCCTACCTACCCTTGCTATGCAAAGCGAATGATGGCGCAGCATGCGGTGGTGCTGGGGCGGTGTTTTATTGCGGTTTTGTTCTTTGACAAATGTGCCGTAAAATATTTAACCTTTCCGCGTCGGGAAATTTTAACCTCACCCGCATTTTCTTTGAGGGCGTTATTTTACTATTTTCCGGTGCTCTGCGCAAATTTTGTTATAAATTCATTATTTGTTACTTTTTCTCCGCAAAAAGAGCCAAACGTTACGTTTCTATGCGGAAAGTTGGGTATACTGCGGTAATCAAGGGACTTGAGCCACATCCAGCGGCGCAGTGCCTCGAATGCGCAAGCCCGCCGAGTGGGCAACCGAAGATGAAGGCCCCTTCCCCTCCCCTCTTTCCGGCGCTCCACCCCGACCCGAGGGTCAGAGGACACCCCGGCATCAATCAGCGCCCCTCGACTGCGCGCTGTGTGCTCGCCTCCCTGGATGAAGTCGTTTACGTACGTCCTTTTGGGAGGTGGTGTGGCTTCCGGTTACGCCGCGCGGGAGTTTGTCCGACGAGGCCTGGGACCCGGGGAACTCTGCATAATAACGTCAGAAAACGCGGTGGCTTACGAGAGGCCCGCACTTAGCAAGGAGTTCCTCAAGCCTGGGGGCCAGCGACGCCTTGAGGACTTTTGCACGTGCGTGCGGGTGGGCTGGGAGGCGCAGGACGCGGCCTGGTATGAGGAAAGGGGCGTCCAGTACTTTAGGGGCGTCGCGGCGGTCGGGGTGGACGTGGCTGGTAGGAAGCTTTCGTTGGAGGGAGGCGAGGAGGTGACGTACGGGAAGCTGCTAGTGGCGACGGGGTCCAGGGCGGCGTTGCTGGCGGAGCAGAACACGCCGGGGGCGGAACTGGGGGGCATACACTACATAAGGAGCGTGGAGGACGCGGAGGGCATACTGGAGGGAATCGAGGAGTGCAAGCGGCGGGACGGCAGGCAAGGTCCTCTGGGCGACGGCACGCTCAAGGCGGTGGCTGTCCGTCGGTATTTCGTTTTGGTTTCGGGGACTCGAGGCGCACCGTTGTGTGCGACACCATGTACCGTGGGTTTCTGAACCCTTCCGCATCAGAAAACTTTGCCGTTACGCTTTGTGCTCCGCATTTGTTTTCAGAGCTTTAATTTTGTTAATTTTGCACTGTTAGCAGTCTTTTTTTAAAAGAGCGTTGTTTATTCTATTGTTTCCGCCTCAAAGAAAGGCCAAACGTTACGTTACCATGCGGATGGGTTTAAAGCCAACGGTAGTTTCAGGAGAAAAAAATGACCTCCACTGAGTTGATTCGCGCTACTGCGATGTGGTTGGACGCGTTATTCGATTAACTTTGCCAGAGCGGGACACGGCAGTTAAACATTCTGGAGAAAGTTGGGAGCGATAAATCCATGCAATGGTCCAACCGAATTTCTGCCCCAGATGAAGCACATCGTGCCTTTCGCGACGATGTCTGCCTCATCCGGATTGGGCATCTGGAAAGGCGATCCATCAGGTGCAGCAGAGTCGACTATCCATTACGAAAGCTAGGAGTCAGTGGACCCTTGGTGCCACTGCTTCAGACCTTTCGGACTTCATCGAACAAGCTGTTGACACCGAAGCAATGAAGCACAGAACTGGCGTTAGATCGCCAAATGCATCACCGCCACACCCTGACATGTGTTGCATGTTGATTAAAGCACTTTTGATCTGCGGATTGGTCTTGTGATTGCTCTGGGATGACAGGGCACTGGTGGTAGGGGCGGGGTATGTGGGCATGGAGGTTGGGGCGGCGCTGAAGGAGCATGACTTGCACGTGACCATGGCCTTCCCGGGGGGCATGTTGATGGACCGCATGCTGCCTCACGATGCGGCGAGCCATTACGAGGAATACTTTGCCGCTCAGGGCGTGGAGTTGTGCTGGGATAGCAGGGTGACGCAGTTGAGCGGCAGCCACGGCCATGTGGAGTCCGTGGAGCTGAACGACGACAAGACGTTGCAGGCTTCCATGGTCGTGGTCGGCATTGGTGAGGGCACGTCACAGCGAAGATGCCCCATTGATGTTGTTTGATATTTAAATAAATGACAAGCAGGATGCCTGTGTGATGGGGTGCTTGACTCTGTCAAAAGTGGCTGAAATAGAGTTACTCCATTTCAGCAAATTACTGTAGTTTGCTCTGTAATCCCTCGAGCAATAAGCACGAGATATTTAGCGGCGTGAACAGAAAGAGCGTGAGGTGAGCCGTTCTTATCTTG